TGTTTTTATTTATTACATTATTTCATGTAATGGATGCAAAGTTTTAATGTAACAAATAAAATTGACTAGATTACTTGTTAAAATAGCAGTTTGCTTTCATAATTAATTATTTATGCTTTAAATATTTAGAATTATTGAATTAATAGTAAACTATTGCTGTAAAAGTGATTCCGAGGAGTATAAGATGTTTCATTTATCTTCTATTAACTATAGCATCATTTGGCTTCTACATTCAGTTCTCCTTTAATTTGATTACACCTGAGAGACATCCATGCTTTAATTAAAATTATTTAACAAAAAGGTAGTTTAAAAAACACAGCGAGACAAATAATTCCTGTTGTAGTTAGCAGAAATGCTGTTAATGGTATTATATTTTCAAGCATTTCATTTTACTTATGTATTCAGAGAATAGGTTCATTTGGTTGCATAAATTAAATCATATTCAAAAGTTCTTTATTTCGAACACATCTCCATGCATAGATTTGCATACTCACTTCTCAATACACCTGCTATTTATTTTTGTTAATATTACTCTTGTATTTCAGTAGCAATCAATGTGAAGAAGAAAATACATTACTATACACTTGATTTATTTTTTTAAGGTTTAAGCAATTTACTTTCGATGAATAATTCAACAATACTTATATTTTTGATTGTAATTTAAATTGCATACCATTGTGGATAAACACAATTAAAAATTATTAGTTACAAATTGTGCTGGAGGTATAAGTAGCCTGTACCGAGTGGCTAGTGCAAGCCTTTGTTGCATTTACATCAGAAGCAATTCAAAATGTGCATCTTTCACACAACACATATGTCACAAATGAAAAATAAAAATTTCAGTGACTCTCTATAGTATGTTGCCAGAAATCTGTACATGAGCTTGACAAATAGCTTCCTCCAACTCGTTGAATGTTAAAGGATTGTTGCAGTAAATGAAGTCCATCAGTGTGCCCCACAGAAAGTAGTTGCAGAGGGTAAGTTCAGGAGAGTATGGCATCCATTCCATGCCTTTTCCCTTAACTGTTGAATTGTTCAATGCAGTAACTCTATTATCAAAGTATTATCTAGAAAGTTAAAAACATATGTGTGAGCCCCATCTTGCATGAACCATACTGTGCCTGGTTGATTGTCCAACACTTGTTGAATGGCAACAAATTGCATCAAAAGCTCAATAAATTGATCACTCATCACTGTTTCTCACACACACACAAAAACAAAAAAAAAAAAAAGCGTCAATGATGCCTTCACAGAAAATTACAGCACAAGTGTTAAGTTTGGAGCATCAGAGTTGTTGTTTGTTAACGAAACCATTCATATGAAAAAAGGCCTCATCTGTAAATTGTATTCGCGGACATTAAAACCAGAACCATCAATCATGTCAAACATTTGGTTAGCGAAATCCTCTCTTTGTCATTCAGCTAGAACTCGTAGGGCATGCTGGCTGTCATGCTTGTTGGGATGGCAGAGACGTGACACAATACATTATTAGAAAATGAATCCTTTATTGTATTACTTTTATGTGTGCAAAAATTAAGGACGAGACGGTTTTTTCAATATAACTTTGTACAAAAGTTTCCAAATCAACACATTTAATACCGTAAGATCCCCAATACGTAAGGACATGAATAATGTAAGCAACACTTACTAAGGGACACTTACAGGGACCGAAACATCCCTGTGATGGGTGTCCAGCAAGAAATATCCGGTCTTTAATAGGGGATATGATCTCCCCTGACTGCTAGGCAGATTTCACAGTGTCTGCCCATGCTGAGAATGAGGGTGTAAATGAGTTGTTGATGCATTGCTGCCCATTCGTCTTGCAGCGCCAATCGAAGCTCCGGAATCGTTGCTGGTGGTAAGGTACAAGCTGCCAAACGTCTGCCTAGAAAATCCTATACATGCTCGATGGGATTGAGATCCTGAGATTGTGCTGGCCAATCCATGCGTTCAATATCCTCACTCTCTAAGAGCTGTTCGGCAGCTACTGTGCGATGACTTGGTGCATTGTTGTCCATGAAAAGGAACTGCGGACCCATAGCGTCTCTAAAAAGACGCACATATGGAAGAAGAATCTCGTTACAATAACGGGTCCCGTTGACTGAACCTGTGTTGAAGATGTGAAGGTCTGTACGACTACCAAGCATGATGCCTCCCCAAACGAGAACACCGCCACCTTCATACCTGTCCCTTTCAATGATGTTCGAGGGATGATTGCTGCTTCCCCGCTCTCTCCAGATGAGTATGCGATGAGAATCGCTACTCAGACTGAATCTGGTCTCATCTGTAAAAAGTACTCGACCCCATTCATTGTCTCTCCAATTCCGGTGTTCCTGGTACAACAGAGAACGCCTTCTCTGATGGGCAGGCGTTAGAGGTACACACCGTACAGGGCGTCGTGCAAACAGACCACCACCATGCAGTCTTCTGGCCACGGTAAAACGCGATATCGGTCGTCCAGTCGCCTGTGTCGTGTGTCTAGTGATTTCTCCCGCTGTCTGCCGCCTGTTTCTTCTGGCCTGTAAGGCAATATACCGGTCATCTGCGTGTGTGGTTTCTTGTAGATGACCACTACTAAACCCCCGGATAGCTGTGCCTGTAGTTTGAAATTGTCTCCAAAGTCGTGAAACGATGCTGTGAGCAATTCTGAACTCTGCATCCACACTTGTCACACTGCAGCCTTCCTCCAACTTCCCAATGATTCGACCTCGGGTAAAAGCATCAGATGCGTTAACAAATTGATTATTCGCCATTTCTCGCTGAGGCAGCAACTCGGTGTGATTTTAAACTGCTATACGGCGTGCAATCTCTTGCCAGACATACTGATCTTACACCGACAACATGCTGATTGCTACTCAGACACTCCTCATATGTCTACCTGCATATCTGCGATGTGCTACCGTACATCACCTTACTTAATCTCCTGATTGGTCTTTCTGTCCGCTCTACCTCTTCGTTCAGCTGATATGCTAATTTTTCAACTTCGTCCTTAATTTTTGCACACCAGTGTATATTATTATTTATGTACATATATATTTATTGCACAACTTTTATGTACATATATTTACACGATGTTGATATTATATGATTTAAGAAAGTAACTCTAATGAAGCATAGTTGTTTAATACCTTACAAATTAATCAGTCACGCCGGCTAAAATCGAAACTCGAACTCAGGCATAAACGTCCTACCACACTTTCTGCAGACAGCTCTCGTCTGTCTCACTTGCTAGATTCTTACTGCGAGACAGACAGCTGATTGGCTGACCGCAGCCAGATACACGACACTGACACTGAATCTTGTACGAAACATATCTGTAATATGTTCCACAGGCTTCTGGATGGCAGGATTCTGGATTCAACTACATGTCAAATTTATTCAGATAATTCTCAGTAACTGCAGCAAGTGTCATTGCATTTTCAGACAGAACAACCGAATGGGTGAGATGCTCATTTCCGACTAATGCATCGACCTCATTGCCTGTTTGTTGAAATTTTTTAATAGCTCATAAATTGTTTTTCTATCTGGATCTTTTGCAACTTGAAATCGCTTTTAAAAACTTGTTGTTGCAATAGACCTGTGATTTAATCAGTGGTACTCCAGCACCATAAACATATGTTTCTTCACAGAAAACACTTCTGGAATTTCTCCCACTATATGCTTATAACAGTCACGTTTCAATGGCAAAATCTTCCAACGATTAATTGTTCTCGGCGTCAGAGCTCTCTTTGTAGGAAGCTGTAATGCCACTTGCAGTGCCATCTATCGCCATAATTACTAACTAAAATTTTGAAGATTCTATATCAAATTCTTACAGTTTTTTTAAGAAACTTATTACTGGTTTCACGCATCTATACATCACCATTTCGGAGTTATTTATTTTTAAATTTAGAAGTCCTTCATGAAACACCCTATATGTAGCTATTAAAAAAAAAGCTATAAATGAAAATGATATTGCATTATTTTGTTATGTAGACTGCAGTTTTTAATCAAACCTAAATAAAACTGTGTAATCAATTTATGTACATTATTTCTGTTTTGTAATAGAAATCTCCCTCTATTAGTTATAATCTGTTCCCCACCCCCTAAAAAAAGTTTTTTTTTTTTTTTTTTTCCCCACTTTTTGTAAGCAAACTACTGTGATCTTTTTACAAAATGGGCAGATCTGTGGTTTATTTTTTAATAAATAAATTTACCAGCATATTATTTTTTATTCTTGCATTAATTGAAATAAAGGCTTAAGTCAGAGCCTGAGTTATTGATATTAATTAAATGAATTCCTTTTATGTACATTTTTCTCAATGTCCTTGAAGTAGAAAACCATAAATTTTAATCACTGAAAAATTTTATTTATTTTGGATTAGAAGTAGATTATCAAAACAACACTGATACAGAAATTAAAAAACATATTCTTGCTAGAATTACTGTCCTTCAAAATTTTTATTAATAAATTTGCTTAAAACACAGAGAAAACTGCTTTAATGCAAGACTGTCAGACTTATACTGATGTATAGCTCTGATCCTGGATCTGTAATTAAGATACAAAAAAACTTTAGTTATTTTTGACAAGAACATCCTTAAAAAAATATTTGATACAGTGAAAATTGATGACTTGTAATGGCATGGGATGAGACTAAATGACATTTTTAAAAAGTTGAAGTGATCAGATGTATTAAATATAAGCATGCAAAAGCTGCTGGTCTCATTTTCCAAATGAATATTTATTTGCTAATAATTAAAATTTTTAATTATAAAAAAAATTCTAGAACGAATCAAAAATAGATATTTGATGGTTGGGCTAACATAGTGGCATCAAAATAACAATTGGATAATAACTTTAACAGTATTAAAATTACTAACAACTAAATCACTGTAAACAAATGGAGAACAAACTGGAAGAGGATTCTAAGAAAGGTCATGGCTCGTTTTGCACTGTCATGCCACCTGAAGAATTTATATTTTCCACTCAAAATTAAGATGGTATCCTTTTCTGTTTTCAGACACCCCGGGATAAAATCCAGTGTGTCCTTCGATGCTGCAGCACAATCATGAACCTTCTCAGCATGGCCAGTGAGAAATCAGTTCCAGCTGCTGATGATCTCATGCCTGTTCTTGTGTATGTGCTTATCAAGGCCAATCCTCCTCACCTTCTTTCGACGGTTCAGTATGTAAATACTTTCTTTGAGAAACAATTAGAAGGGGAAGAGGCATATTGGTGGACTCAATTTGCATCAGGAGTAGAGTTCATTAAGAATATGGACTATTAATCAGATGTTATTTTTTAGATAATCTTCATGTGAGAGCAATTCTGGCTTTAGAAGTGAAATAATTCTATAGGAATTTTCATAATCTCATGCAAGTATGATGTATAAATATTAAAAAAATGTGATATGAAATGTGTTCTGTTGGCCAGGATATATTAACATTGGACAGAAAATACCCAATGATTTACATATTTATGAATACTTTTATTGCTTGAGATTTTTGTAATTATTTAATCATTTTATTAGAAAATTTAGATGTATGAAAAAAGTATAATTGAAGGAATTCTGTTTCTGTTATCAGAGCTGCATATAATTTTAAATTTCCGTATGTTTTTCAAGCATAAGTTGGTATCTATGATGTTTAAACTAAGCATCTACTAAAAATTAGTTCTGACTGTTGAGTAGTAAGAAAAATTCCTTCTCTAAATCAGCATGTTGCATTATTTTTAGTATCAGTTTTTAAGTGCTCTGATTTTTTTGTTTTGTTTGTCTAATTATATTAGCTTAATGATAAGTGCTACCATATATGGCTTGTTTACAAAATTTTGTATAGTGTTATTTAAAAATTAAAGTTTAAAATTTAAATTTTCTCTTTCAAAAATTAAATATAATAGAGTTAATGAAATATGAAATTGAGAATTAAGCATTTCTTTAAAATTTTAGGGCAATAATTTTACTATAATTCTGATTTATTACATTTCTACAAAACTCTTACCCTCCTTTCTTAATTCTGAAAGTAAAATCAACCATAATTCTTTTTAAAAATGAAGTTTTATACACATGCTTGTATATATACATATAATATTATTTGTACAAAGTTTTTATTGAAAATATGTTTTTAAAGAATTGAGATTTATGCCCATGTGTATTTTTTCCCTATAATAGTTTTATATGTTATATTTAATATTATGATGATTAGTTATTATATGATTTTTGACCTAAAATAAGATTAGATGAGTTATAAATATATAAGAAATTTTAATATAAGTATTAATCTGTCTTAATTTAAAATATAGGGTATTCTCTAATACTTGCACATCTCAGGTGCATATTTCCTTTTCTGAGAGATAAAGTTTTATGCAAATGATTACCGTGATGTAATAAACTGCTCCCAAAAAGTGATTTGATTTTTTTTTTTTTTTTTTTTTTTTTTTTTTAGGTCTGTGTTATATGTGCTAATCTTTGTATTTTTATAATATGAGTGAAATGTCATGTTAGTGTTGAAAATTAAATGTATATATATATATGTAAATAATCTGCTGTCTAACCAAAAGGTTATTATTTTCTTGTTAGGTGATTATTTCCAAAATACTTCTTTTATGAGATTTGAAATTTGTTAATCAAGTTGATTATATTATGTATTTTACTTGTATGTGATTGGTCATTAAAAATTATCAGGAAATTAAATTGAAAGCAGCTAAAGTGTGCGTTAGAATATGAGTGGAAAATTTTTATATTGTGTATATTTTAATACTTTTAATTTAATTATATATTTCTTAATCATATATACAAAAATATATTTATGAATTGTAATCAATTATTTCTGAGTTTATTAAATTAACACCTGTATGTACAAAATATTGTAATTTAGTTTAACATGTCAAAGGAAAAGAGAAATAAATTTGTACATTTATTGGTCAATCTAGATCACTGGTATTCTGAAATGAGATTACAAAAAAAAAAAAAAAAAAAAAAAAAAAAAAATTCTACAAAGTTATACAAAATTATGTAATTAATTATATGCTACTTAAAAATTCGTCAAAATAGCAAATAATGCAAATCGCCTTCCCTTCCCTCCTTCCAGACATCTTCTGCTTCAAAAATAAAAAGAAATATTAATTTTTTCTTAATTTTAAAACCAGTTAATGGAAGCAAAAAATTGTGTAAAAAGATATAAAGAATAACATTTTTTTTAATTCGAGAACTGTTTCATTTTTTGTTTATGTTCGGTAAAGTTATTGAAAAAAAGTAACTTATCAGTGGATTATTTTTCAGATTTTATTAATTCCTTGGTTTACTTAATTTTTGATTTTCCATAGTTTATTTTGCTTCATATGTTTCTCTTTTGTAGTTAATTTGGAAAATTATATCATGCATGACTAACTAGTATCAATGATTAATCCTTTTATAAAAATGTATTTTATGTTAAAAGAAAGTGTGTTTTATGAGCATAATTACAAAGTAGAAAATGCAAAGTGCCTCACAGAAAAAGCTTCTCCTCTCCCATTCTGCTTCTTGATAAAAGATATTAACAGTTTATACATTTCACTAGCTTGTTGCTCATAAATCAATGTACTTTGAGTGAATCAGTGCATGCAGCAGATTAAATGCCTTAAAATTTCTTCATTTTTTAATTAAAATGTTATTTACATGGTGCTGCTTTAATATTTTAATCTATTTTATTTGATATTTCATTGACTTTTCTTAGGTCTGTGTGTGTTTCTATAATAGTATTATTGGATCTGATTATCATGTCTGCTATACCTTCTCATAAGAATTTTTTATTTATTTATTGTCTGTTATGTGTTTGTTCTCATTCCTCTCAACTGAATTTGTTTAATGTATATATAAAATGGGCAAGGCTCTTTTTAGCATATAATTATCCCTTAATTAAGGCATGTATTTTAGCAAAGTACATAAAAAATAGGAAAACATTTTCGTGTTTAATTTTGTCGATTGTATCAATAAAAAATTAGAAAATTGTCATTTTATTTAAAAAAAAAAAACTATATAGCTGCTACATTTAATATTTCAGCATATATGAAAGATTAATAGACCACAGACTACATTAATAGACCATAGACTACATTTTACTCAATTTTGTTTTCATTATAGCAAATGTACAGGATCAAAATAACTTATTAATTTTCAAACTAAATATAATAAATTAATGCTAGATTTAATACAAAAAACAATCTGATTTAGAATGCATGAATTTCAGAATATGGAATTGAGTCTGAAGAATTTAAAAGAAGAATTTTTTTCATCAGCATCTGAATCAAATATCGCACAGATAAACAAAAAAAACTTTTTTATATAAAATTCTCAAAAAATGAGAATGGCAAAATAAAGAATCGCATGAATTGCGCAAAACCATAACCAAAATTGTATTCATATATTTGACCAAAACTAACTGTTAAGAGAAATAAAGCACAAATTCTACTAGCTATTGTGAAAGTAGTAAATTGCCTTTTTAAATGTCTGTTCTAAAGGAAAATGAGCTCTATTTAACCTTTATAGACAAGAAATGCCAAATTTTTTCATGCCTGAAATCAGTTTGAGCATCATAAATATTGCATGGTGGAGTTACGCAAATTGCCTTTTGTTGTCATAGAGGTTAACCAACGTTTGTTTTTACATGTGCATGCAAATACACACAAACAAGTAAAAAATCCTAGATGCCAACTTTTCTCCCCCCCCCATCACATATTTCAATAGATCACCGAATTTTCCAGTTTTTAATTTTTAACCTTTACTGAGGAAAATAATTTTCACCAATAAATGAAACTTAAATTTTCAAAATGTATTTTGCTACTGATGAAGATTTTCAGCATAAGTTTTCTAATTTAAACTTTATTAAAGTTAGTTTTATTTTATTTGATCTCAATAGTCTTGTTCTTCTATAGACCTTTCTATGAAGATTCAACCAAATTTTAATAATTTAATATTTGCTTTTAATTTTGTTCTACATCAGTAAATGGTACATTGCTATGCTTATCTACACAATAGTATGTACATTAATTATTGATTTTATTCTCATGATTATTATTTTAAATTTTTTTTATTTTTAATAATTAAACATTTTTCTTCTTTCTCAATATAAAATTGTAAAAAAATATATAAAATGAAATTAACCAAAGAGCATAAAATTTAAATATCTAGTTAAATGTTTATATAGTTTTTATTAAAATCACGTTATAAAGGGTTCAGTAACCTGAATCATGCATAAAAAACTGAATTTAAGGCAAATTGGAGTTCTTTCAGAGTGGTATTATCGTGTAGCACAAATACCTCCCATTTTTCATATTTTAAGAGTAGCTTAAATGTATGTCCTTCTTTTTAAATAAAAATTATTCTGCTGGAGCACTTTAAATTCAAACTTTGTGAAATATTGCAACATACATTTACACTTATTGAAGATTAGCATGACACTAACCAGAATGCTGGAAAAGGAAATTAGTTAAAATGCCTAAAATCCAACTTATGGTCAGTTCATTTACTAACACTGCAAGATTTATGGTTAGTATGAAAAGTATCAAGGTAATATAGTTCAACAATTGAAGTTTGGGTTAAATTTTTGTAGATGAAAAACTGAAAGAATTGTTCGAGTGCCAAACCATCCATTGAAAGTATTAAGTCCTTTTTTTATTTGAAAACTTTAATGTTATGGAAAAGTTCAAGTTTAATATATGTCATACTTTTTTTTTAAATCTAATTCTTTTTGAAAAATTTATAATGAGAAAAATCATTATACATTCCATTTAAATGATCAAATGAGCAGATAATATAGTCGATTTGTATTTTTTTTTAAAAGGATTGTATTTATTTTTACGAGCATACATATATAATTATTAATTCATAGACTATTTCAGTAATATAATATTATATGTTATATTCATCTTTTTGGTCAAAATTCTCTTTAAAAAAATTCATATTATTTTATTATTGTTTATAAGATTTTTGCTGTTTAAATTGTAATTTTTAGAACTTTGCTCCTCTTATCTTTATTTAAAACTTTTACTGTAGATCAATTCTATCAGTATTTATAATAGTCAGAATTAAAACATTAATCCAAAGCGATATTGCTATATAGTAGATGGGAATAGCAAATAAATAAAAATAAATCAAGTGCTTAAAAAATTTTAGGTCTGTGTATAATGTTGGCTGCTTTACATTTTTTTTTATGTCCACTTCACATTTCAAAGTAATATTAATATAGAATTCATAAGAAATCGTGTGTATGTGTTATTTGTCAAGTATGCCTAACAATTTAAGGTATGTGTAAATTTATCGTGGATCTAAGATGCATACATTTATATATACTAATATGAGAAAAGAAAATATTCTTAACAGTTATATAGTAAATATATCATTTCTATATTATCTTTCTACTTGGGTTATTTAGATAATTGCATGAGTATTCTTGGAAACCATTGATCTAGATTATTCATATGTATGTTATATAGGTTTAGCACTAGATTTCTTTGTTTAGTGTGTTTCTTTTTATTTTATGCTAAGTTGCAGAGAAAATCAGTTAAGTGTGTGTGACAGGTAATATGATGGTATTTTTGTAAAATATTGTGTTATGATGTTAATTTTAATTATCTTATTACTGTGCAATACTTCAAATGTGTTTCTTTTTTGTTTTTTGTAGTAATGATTGTGCCTATAACTCTATTTCTATGCACTTCATGTACTTTAAGCTTCATTTATTACTTTTAAGTTTTCATTGAATTCTATGCAATCAGACAGCCAAGTGCTAAACCAAATGCTTTTAAATAACATTTCTAGTGACAGTTTGTCTTCCTGTACAGTAGACTACTTTAAGCTGAAAAGTGGTTAATATTCTGAGAATTGTGTGTGTATAATTGTATCTATCTATATAATATATGCACACACACTTTATCCTGTATTGTATGAATGTAGTACTGAATGGTGTATGACTCTAATAAAGCTTATGTATTTTGTTACATTTATTTAAATTGTGCAAGAATTAGTCAAAATGTAAAATAGCCTGGCATCCAAGATGTCCCTGCATATAAGATGCATTTTTAATGATTTTTTTTAATAAAGCTTAGTTGTAAGATATCCTCACATATATAATCTTAACTTGCTGAATATGACCTGAAATAAAAATAAAATAATTTAAATACTATATTTTGAGGTAAAATTAAGCGACCCATCCTTCCAAACTTAATTTTTTTTAAATTTATAATAATACCTTATTATATTGTACATTATTCCATATGAAGAAGGGAACATGATTTTTTTGGTATACTGAATGAATTTATTGAGTGAAATCAGTTTGCAAAGAATTTTTTGTGCTTTAATCATCATAACTTCTTCTTGTCTATTTGTTCATTACAGAATTAAGCAATAGATTGTCAAAACTTATTTAATTCCCTCCTTAATATAATGTTTTAGTAATTTGTTAATAAATTTAATAATAATTAAGACACAATAACACGCCGAATAAATACTAATTCAGAAGTCAAACAACAAAAATTTAATAATGTCTGATATTATAAAAGCCGAAAGTACTTTATTACAAAAATGCAACAAGTATTTCATATTTTTATTTAAAAAATTTTATTTCTTAAAATGAAAAAGTTAAATATCGGTTAATAACCTTCTGAATGGATACGCAAGTTTTCACTGCTGCAGTACTTTTAGCTAAAGCCTACAGCAAGCACCAATAGATACTGTGTTTTGGTAATTAAAAGCATTTACTAAAGTGTCATGTTGTGGGTAAACTAATGTTGATGATGACTATGTTTATATACTGAAAAACATGTAACTTCATGCAATTCAGTCTTTTGTGCATCCTCCTTAATTATAAAGGAAATGATTCTTGTACCATATTACTGAGCTGCTTGTGGTTTCTTCTGACCAATAAAATAAATGGTACTTAAGCATTTATCTTTTTACCAGGCTGCAATCCCAGAGTTGCCTGACTTAACCAGCATAAGCATAATTTTATCTTC